AGTATTCATTTCATTTTATTTCTTAACTTTTGAAACAGTAAACGGAGCCGTCGGACACTCTGCTGTTCGTCTGCTGCCCTTCAGAGTAAAAAAATACTCTCACTCTGCCGTCGTGGCCTCCAGCCCAGAACACATGGCCTCTCTCCAGAAGAAAGAAATGCTGCAGCGACACCAGATACATGCAAACACAGCTCGTGTATATCTGAGCACATTCCTGCACAGCAGCATCTTCTCTTTTTCACCCGGAACCTTTCACCCAGTAAAGAAACAAGTGAACGGCCTCTGTTAATCCTCTGTTCTGCTCAGGCCTCCTTTCCCAGGACATTTGCCAAGGTCAGAGTGATGGAAGGAGGAGGAGGAGGAGGAGGAGGAGGAGGAGGAGGGGGGCTGCTGACACAAAGAAACACAGCAGGGGTGAACGACATGCAGAATGCATGAGACACCAGAGAGGAGAGAGAGAGGAGGAGGAGCCTCTGAGCAGCTGCTGTTCTGTGTGAGGATTTCTGGATCCATCACATCACAGGGCGGCTCCACATCTTCAGGCCGTGGGACAACACATTCCTCTGCTGCTGGACTGCAGGAGGAGTCAGCTGACCAGAGGGTGATGAGGAGGAGGAGGAGGAGGAAGGAGAGGAGGATCCACGAGGTTTTTGAAGCCACAGGAAGGGGGCTGGGCCTCCCTGACAATGCTCCAAGCCAATAAGCACTTTCGCAATCCCAACTTCGACCTGTGGACTTCACACTCAGGGTGCAGCACATGACACAAACCTCATGTGGTGACCGTGTGTAGGAAGGAGCAGAAGGAGCTGACATGCAGAATGTACCGGAGGAGTGGAGGGAAGGTGGGGATGAGAGGAGGATGAGGAGGGAGCTGATGGTGAAGAGGAGAGGGGATCCGGGGAGCAGCGAGGGGATGAAGGGAGAGGAGGGGAGGAAGAGTGCAGGTGGAGAAGAGGTGGAGAGGGAGAGTCTGATGATGGAGCTGACGAGGATGGTGCAGAAGATAGTGAAGGAGAGCAGCTGGTGGGAGAGGAGGGGAGTCGACTGCTGCGTCCTGGCTGCAGCGTTCTTCTGTCTGCCGCCCGGTAAGAAACTTAACTTCATCATCTGAGTGAGGGAATTCAACTTCATTCAAATTAAATGAAACAGAATGAAAACATGTATAATATATCATATATTGTGTTTTAAAACTGTTTCATAAAACAGGTTTAATGTTCTCTGGGTTTCTCGATGTGTGTGTCTCTTTGTTAAAGTTAGTTTTCTCTTATTCTGAAATTGAATAACTTTCCAGTAAACATGCCCCCCCCCCCTCATCTTATTACCACTGCTGTCACTTCTTTCATCGTTACCCTGGTTCCCATGTATCTGGGTCACTGGTGGTCGGTGCCTGACCTCAATTAGGGCGCCGGTGTCCATTGTGCCTCACGTCACTCGATCATTGGATCTGACAACAACCTGCTGCTGCAAACTGGATGCGTAATTTTAACTGTGTCTGCACTCGCTCCTCGAATAAAAACGTCTGAGTTGAATTCAGCTGCAGAGTTTAGTCTGTGCTGCATCTGTGTTTGTGCGTCACAGAGCTTCTGACTTATCGCCTCGAAATAGGCTGCTTTGAAATAGGAGTTGTAATATATCAGCGCTGGTTTATTGGGTTAGGAAGAGAACACGTCACCTAAAACCTGATGGGGAAGCTTCACCGGCAGCTGCTGCTTCAGGTTCAGTCTGGTGCTTTCACATGAATTATTTAAAGTCGTCAGACTCAGGTCAGCATCAATGTTTATGAATAAAGGACCGGACGAGTTGAATATAAAGAAAATCAGAGGAATTCAAATACAGAACATTCCTAATCCTTCCAGAACAACATGAAAAACAGTTCTGTCATAATGTGAGGAGCCTCCAGTGAAGAAGAAGAAGAAGAAGAAGGTGGTGATGCAGCTTGATGTCAGTTGCCACCTGCTGATAAACCAAACAAAGAAGAAGAAGAAGAAGTGGAGGATAACGTTTCCTCCGTTCATCTGATCCTCCTGCACATCGACACATCATGGCCGACAGTCTCCGTGCTGCACATGGATAGCTCTCATGGTGCGGGTGGTAAATCGGTCAGTTCGTCTGTAGGTCAAACACTTTGGCCCAGATTCAGACACATTTGGATGCAGGGAAGTGAAGCAGCCACCAGTCAGAGGCCCGAGAGGTCAATGAACCCTGATCAGAGTCAGGCAAGTCTTTTATCGGACAACAGGAGCAGGAAAACTTTCAGGCCAGACTTTTATTTTCTGCTCTAAGAATTGTTTTTGTTTGTACTTTGGTCTGAAACTGTCGGAGGTCAGAGGTCACATCAGCACACAAACAAGAAAACGTATGAAAATAAAATAAAAACATAGTAAAAGACAGAATATACGATCACTTCTTGTTATTAATAATATTCTGAGTCCTGTTATCAGTATCTCACGTGACTCTCTGCCTCGCAGCCTTCCTGCTGCTGTCCTCCTCTCAGATCCTGTGGTTTGCGGCGGGCGTGCTGCTGATGGGTGTCGCTCATGCTGTCCTCACCATCAAGGGGACACATCTGGCGAGCCACGGGACGCTGAGCGAGTCGCAGGCCTGGGCCAAGTTCTGGGCCGTCTTCTTCATCGAGGTGACCGATTGATGAGGATGGATGGATTAAACCTTTAACTCCGAGCTGTAACCACGGAGATAACCCTATAAACATGGACCTGAAACCTGTATTCTTTTAATGCCCAGCAGAGGGCGACTCCACTGGTTGTCCACAGTTCACGTTTACATCTAAAGGAGTTTCAAGTCTCCTTCAACACAGCCGATGTCCACTTTGTAAATCATGGTCCCATCTGGAGTTAAATAGATCGTAAAGTATGCACTGGGGAGATACCACAGTATGATTGACAGCTGGCACCGTCCAATGGGTGCAGGTGTAAGTGGCTCCACCCCTTGCTCCACCAGATGTGGTTACTTCTGGTTTCAAAAAACCAAGATGGCGCCGGACAAAAAGTCAAACTGAGGCTTCAGAACAGGAGCTCAGTGGATCTATACTTCTATCTATAATTCTATATACTATACATATATACATATAAGTGTATATATATATATATATATATATATATATATATATATTTGTGCAGCTGTGCAGGGCAGGTGTGAACATGATGCAGGGGAACTAAACTTACACTCAGTGAACCTGACCCTGAGTCAATAAAGATTAAATAACAGAATGATGTTCTGACCCTTTTACGACCTTGGAAAGCTCCACGTGTACACGAGGGAAAACATATCCTGCAAATCAGGAAAATAATTCTGTTTCATAACGTTTTACAACCAAAATAATCGTCCAGATGAACTTTAGACTCCGTGAAGTTGTTTACTGAACAGTTTGGTGAACTCATCACGACCTTTGCTGTTCAGGCCAACAAGAAAAAACAAGACACGTAAAACTAAAGTTAAAGTAAAGTCAGTAAATACAGATGTTGACTTTCCTGCTTGATGCATTTTATTGATTGTTTAATGTTTCATGAACATGTCCGTGTGTGTGTGTGTGTGTGTGTGTGTGTGTGTGTTTTCTTAACACACACAGATCTGTGGTTCCTTCTCGGCGACGGCCGGAGTGCAGGGTCACATTAAGATGCATCACGCTCACACTAACATCATCGGACTCGGTGACTCCAGCGTCTGGAAGGTTCCCTTCCTGTCCCGCAGCCTCTACCTGTTCGTAGCGCCGCTGTCCGTCCCCGTCATCACTCCACTCGTTGCACTCGGTAAGAGGCTCAGACGACCAGATAGATTCCTCTCCCTCTGATCCTGGTCCAGTTCCTGTGTGACCTGTGAGTTTATTCTGTGTTTGTGATTCCGTGGTGGTGCAGCTCACCTCAGAGGTCACTCTTTGGTCCTGATCGGCAGGACCATGCTGATGGTCACGCTGGGCCTGTATTCACAGTACTGGCTGCTGATCCACGTCTCCGGGTTCAAGTCGGCTCCCGGCGCCCTGCTCTGCATGCTCGTCTGCAGGGCCATGTTCTCTGTGCCGTACATACATGTCAACATCTTCCAGGTGAGAAAAGCACACGCCTGCACTCTACATGCTCAGAGCCACAGAAATGACGGGTCTCCTCTTCCTCTGTTTAAAAATGAAGCCAAATATCTTGGATACGAACGCTGTCGGTGATGACGTCATCAGTCTCAGCTGTCAGTCATGACGTTTGAGCCCGTTTTTATGTATCATCAAATAACGAATAAAAACCAAACTTATCAGAAACATGAACACGTGAACAAACGTCAGCGTGAGGAGAACGACCTTTAACCTTTGAATTCTGAAAGAATGAACACGTTCATATTTCTCACTCATGTGTTCTTTGTAATTCGTGGCCTGAGACTTTTTCCTCAAGGTTCTTTGTCTGTAAAATCACAAAAGTAAAATCTCCTCAGTTCACACAGATTCCTGCTGCATCACTTTCCTGCCAAACGATCACGAGAGCCGCTCTCGGTGGAGAGAAGCTGTTGAATGCAGCTTTGTGTTCACGTCGACCGGTCTGTGAATTAAAGGATAAAAAGGGAACAATTCATGCATGATGTTCTCAGATGGAGTCATTGTGCATTGTTCTGATCAAAGCGTGTGAGGGCGGATTAGAAAACTCAGGTTCTCCATGTGGAACATGTTAGTTCTCTGTGGGGGGGGGGGGCTCAGACTAAAGAACTGTTCTCTCTTGGGGCTGCTGTTTATTTCACCATGAACTTAACGACCCTCTGTGCTTTCTAACCTTTGGTCCTCTTTGCTCTAGAGTCTGAAATCTGTGTGTGTTCAAACCTTCAGCAAACCAACACTGACGTTCAAGGAGCTGAAATCCAGAGTGACTGAGCTGATTCTGTATTTAACAGCTGGATAAAGCACCTGTGGCCCCGTCAGCACCCACAGGGGCCCGAGGCTTTATGTTCTCAGGTCGCTCTGAGATATCTCAGGAACGCTTTGAGAGAATTTCTTCAACTTTGGCACAAGTAGCTGATTAGATTTCTGTTGTCGAAGGTCAAAGGTCACGGTGAACTGATTCTAGAAAAGAACACACTGCGGTAATTCTGGTTTATAAATGAAACGAGGGCGTATCTACTTTAAAATCTGTCGCACTTAACTGTAAATAATAATATAACACATGGAAGTGTATTAGAGTCGTGATCATTAACAAAAATATCATTTCAATTTATGAATAAATTGAAATAAAACTAATTTATTGAGCAGCATCAGATTTTGAGCAGAACAGTGAATGTGTAACTTGAATATTTGGAGGTTGTGTGAAACGAGCAGCTGCTGAATGGACCAGTTTCCTGTGACGATTATCAGCTGTTGGGGTCTTTAATCCGCAGCACATCGGCCTCCCCATGTTCTCTCCGACCCATCGACCCAAGAGGATCTACCAGATGACCCAAGGCGTCTTGAACCTGCCTCGTAACCCTCTGCTGGACTGGATCTTTGGACACTCTCTTATCAACTGCCACGTGGAGCACCATCTCTTCCCCTTCCTGTCCGATAACATGTGTTTAAAGGTAAGAAAAATAAAATCACACATTATCAGCTTCCTCGTGGTGTTTCCTCTGAGGCCTAAGCTTTTATATCTGTCTGTGATAAATAATCTGTCAGGTCCATTTAAAACAAATAATGTGGAAACACAAGCAGATAAACACACGTCTCCCGTGTCTCTGCAGGTGAAACCAGTCGTGTCCAAGTATCTGAGTGAGAAGCAGCTTCCGTACCAGGAGGACACTTACTTCTCCCGCCTGAGCGTCTTCTTCCACAGGTACCAGGAGCTGATGGTGTTTGCTCCTCCCATCACAGAGCTGGTGGGGGTGCAGTGACGGAGATGAACTGTTCAGACTCAGCACAAGCTTCAGGTTTGAGGGCATTTCTGCCGACGTGACGTTTGATCAACGACGCCGACTCGTTAGATTCATGTGTTTGGTCTCTAATTAACATGATGGGTTGATTTTCAATGATCTCATCAGCCGTCAATCAGTCAGCTTCATTAGTTTGAATGAGTCCCAGCAGGAGTTTAACCACAGCTCTTTAAACTGACCTGGGGTCTGTCTCCTGTTCAACTGATTCAACTCACTCCAGTGACACGCAGCATCCAGAGAAAGTTGAGCTTTGTGAGACAGGCCCTGTTTTATTCTAACGAGATTTAATTTGTGTTGAAGTGTTAAACGAATGTTTGAATCCCAGTGAACGTCCCTGTAGCTACAGCACACAAACACACGTGTCTTTTTTTACATGATAATAACTGTAACATGATTTTCATCAGGATTGTTTTTAGTTTTATGGACTCGATGTCTCATTAAATCCAAACATCTGCTTCATTAAAGATGGAACTAAGATCCACTGTGAGACTGCGTTTTTACGTCAAGGCCACTGAGAGATGTATGCAGTTGGTGGTAATATGCAACTCCACCACTAGATGCCAGTAATCTTACACACAACTCCTTTCACTGCTTTAGTTAAAGATACACACATGCAGATGCACACAAATAAATTAGCTTTACTTGCAGCAAAATAAATGTACGATATATTATATCGTACATTTATTTATAAGGAAGTGTTTTACAGATTATGGGAAAATATTCTGAAACGCTTTGAAAGGTTGAAACTCTCGTAAAAGCTTGAAATCTAATTTAAGAAGGAGAAAGTTTTGAATAATGTTCTGATGATAATCTCTATTAACATTATTTTGTATTTCCGTTTTCAAACCTGCACTTTTTCTTTTCTCCAACACATTTGTCACATTTGTTCTCCAAGTTAAAAACCTTGAACCTGAGAAAAGGTTCTGGAATTGTGAAACTTGATATTTGAAAGGACAAATCTTGATCCTGAAACTTTGCCGACGTCACTTCAGACGTGAGTTCACACATTTGGGACTTTACTGATAATTAGTGGCAGCGTTGTCCTGCAGCTATGATCTAAAACTCTGCAACTGGTGGTCTGAGAGAAAATCACATGTCCCAGGTTATCTGGGAATAAAAAATAAGACTTCACAACAACAGAAGAAGAAGAAGATACATGGAGGAGAAATCTATGTCTCTGATTGGCTGAGCACACATGTGATTGATCACATGACCACATGAGAGTTGCTCCTGCATGACAAATGTTTTTTGTTCAGAAGATCAACGTCCTGCAGGTTAAAGCTCAGATAACCACCGGCTCTGGTCACATGGGGGCAGCGCCTGCTCGGAGTCACTCAGCAGAAACATGAGGAGATCATTTCCTCTTGTTTATCAGCAGAGACCAACAGAGCAACAAAGAAGTGAGTTCATCAGTGTGGTGAGTAAAGACTCGTGTTCTACATCAGTCATGATCAATGTGGGAATGAAACTCTGCACCTCCCTGTTCCTCCTCTGCACTGTGAGCTCCACCTCCTGCTCCTTCAGGCCCAGGGAGGGCAGGGAGTGTGTGTGTGGGGGTGTGTGTGTCACCGGCTGTGTGTTGGAGCTGAAGGGGCGGACAACACATTCAGACAGAAACTATGAACACTGACGTTCACATCTTCTAGGTGTGGCCTCTCTGCACTGAGAGCCAGGAACCGACAGAAGTGGCCGAGCCAGTTATTCTCCGAGAGCAGAGGAGAGTGGAAGTGAAACATTCAGGGAGACGCTCTGGAGACATGGCAGATACAGCCGCTCCCACCTCCAAGCAGCAGCCGGTGGCGGCCTGCGGTGACCCCGTCTGCTCCTCCTGCCTCGGGGACAACTGTAAAGGATGTCCACAGTGTCTTCAGAGTCCAGACAAGCCTCCACCTGCTGAGGGTCTCAAACAGAACGGAACAGAGGCTGGAACTCAGGCGAGCAAAGAGGAAACTCAAGACACCAAGACAGCAGAGGAGATCAAAATCCAGGATGACCTGAAGGAGTCCGAGGTCCCCAAGAAGCTGGAGGAGGAGAAGAAAGAAGCGCAGTCTGATGAGGAGAAGAAGAAGAACGGAGCTGAAGAGGAGGTGAAGGAAGAGGAGACCAAGGAGGAACCTCTGGGCCCCGATGATGTGGTGTGCGACTCCTGCATCGAGAGCCCCTGCAGGGCCCTCAAGTCCTGCCTCACCTGCCTGGTGTCGTACTGTGAGGCTCACCTCCGGCCTCACCTGGAGAACCCCAAGTTCCAGAACCACCGGCTGGTGGAGCCGCTCAGGGACATCGAGAGGAGGACCTGCGAGAGCCACAAGTGGCCCCTGGACATTTTCTGCTGCGCTGACTCCTGCTGCATCTGCCAGGACTGCTTGACCGAGGACCACACGGGCCACAACACCGTCCCTGTGGTGGAGGCTCGCAGGCGGATAGAGGCAAGTGCTCTCACATACCTTCCTCTGATTCTCACATTTTCTCCCCACATGTTCAAACATGTAGATATGAGATCTGTCTTCCATAGTTAAAATCCTCAACTTTCTTGGCTTGAGACCCTGAGACTGTTTACATTCTGTCAGCAGTTCAACCAAACACTCATAATTTCTTCTCAGATTTCCATCTCACAGGGAAAGTTTCCAGATTTCTTTATTTTCCCTTTAATAGTCGGTTGTCAGACAACATGAGAGTCCCCAGACTCTGTCGAGAAACGTAGTTTTCTCTTTTTAAATCACCGTAGATTCAACATCTCTGGACGACGATTCAAAACTTTGAAGGTTTCACAGTCGACTTTTCACACATTTTATAAACAACACACTCCGAAATACACATGTATATCTTATCTTTTATTTAGTTTTGATCCGTGGCAGAGGTGGAGTCCACCACTCTGAAGGACATTGATCTTGAGCAAACAAAAGTTTTCAAAGGAGAATAAAATCTGTCCGTAAAGGTGCAATTTGTTTGTAATTGAAACTCAGACGTGATCCTTTGAATCAGATCCACACACGTACAGGAGAAGATCCTGTGAACACAGTATATAAATATAGAAGTGTTAAACTGAGCAGCTTTGATGGATGGACCTCTCAGCACCAGCGGAGCGATGAAGGATGAGTGTGTGTGTCTGTATGTGTCTCTGAAACCCATCGCAGTTGTTCTCACACCTCCCAAAGTTCAGCTGTGAATTCTTAATCTGATTAAAAGAGTAATTCTTCACAGCATGAGCTCGGCTGTTTGATAAACGCTGGAAACTCAACCATGGGATCCGTTCGGCCACTGTGACGCAGAGAAAAGCTCCAGCTTCATTCATTCGTCTCAGTTTTTGACAGTTGGTCAGGTTCAGGCATTCGAGTCCACATTCCTGCAGAGATCTGCAGCTCTCAGCCCACACCTGTTATTTACAGAGTGTGATGTCGCAAAACCTGACACAGGTTAGAGCTGGAGAGCAAACACTGGTAACTGTAAAGGTGAAAACACCAGAGACAAACTTTACGTGTTCCTTCTCTGTCCTGCAGAACGTTTTCTTTAAATCTCCACCGGAACACAAGAGGGGAAATGACACAGATAAAGTTTAATTTTAAATTCTACGCTGAGGAAATGAACTTGCATTTTTCAGCTAAGCCCTTTCATAGAGATTTATCTCCAGAGGACAGACAGGGACAGTAACAAAGAGGACAATGGAGTAGAATGACTTCCTGTCCGCAGCTCATGTTCCACTTTTAACTCTTTACACAACACAAGCCTCTATTTTGTTTAATGCTCATGTAACAAGCAAAATATCCCAACAAACCCAGGAGGTCATTAAACAACACGCTCCTCTGTTCAAATTAAAACTTTCAACTCACTTCAATAAGAAATAAGAAGGTTTAAAATGAGCTTTATCAAAAACAACTAGAGTGAAATGTTTAAACATTAATCAGTGAAAGATAAGAATCTAATGATGAAACACACAATGTGCATGTGAACAACATCTATACAATCACAACACAAAACCAATGTGTCCCAGTGTTTCCCAAGTAAATGAACAAACTCACAGTCACACAGTGGCAAAATAAAAGTTTGAAGGAAGTTGCTGAGACAGGAAGTTGAATTTCAGCAGCAGATCAGGTGACAGAGTTTGAGGACGAGAGCAGGTTCAACACTCGTCGACTCAAACCATCACAAATATTCACTTTTCTAACCAGAGACAACAAAAAAACTTTGACAGAATTAAAACTACAACAAAACATCATCTGCAAAGAAGTTTATCCTGATTTCTACACTCGACACTACTATGATATATTGATATATTGACGTTAATAATACACATTGATGATATATTTGATCTCCCGTCACTGAAAGGAGAAGCAACGTTTCCCCTCAGAGTTAATCTGTAAAGAACGGTTTTCACCTTGAGTCGCAGCTTCAGGTCCAGAGTCGCCTGGACCTGCCTGAGGAATTCACTGAAAACAAGTCAGGGCCTCGAAAGAACCCACCAATCTCAGAATGTCAGATATCACAGATCTCACTGCAGAGTCGAGGAAACCAGGAAACCTCCCAGTTCTGCTGCAGAAACCAGATGAGGTTTACATTTACAGCTACACATTCTTTCCCTCTGACAGAGTTCCAGGATTTCATGGTTTGTGGTTTGAATGAGGAGCCGAGGTCTGATCTCTTGTTCTGTTCTCAGGGGGAACTGAGGGAGAAGCAGACGGAGACGGTGAAGACGGTGACGGCGGCAGAGAACGCCATCAACAAACTGCAGCTCAACACAGTCTCCATAGAGGTAAACACTGACCTCACCTCGCTGTGTCACATGAGTTTCACAATAAAAGTATGAGTTGGCTGCGTCTATTTTTAGAGAGAGAATCCTCTGATGTAGAAGCCCTGATGTGCCAGAGCCACACAAACAGTACAGAAATCCACTCTGTGATCTTACACAACAAAACTGTACTCCTGTGCATTCCTGAGCGATTCGTAACTTCCTGAGTGTGACGTGGAATTAAAATCACTTCTCCGCAGCAATCGGTGGCAGAGGTGCAAACCGTGATCCAGAGCCAGTTTGAGGAGCTGCAGGCGGTGATGGAGAGGGCGAAGAGGGAAGTGACGGAGATCCTGGAGGGCGAGGAGAAGCAGGCGCTGAAGCAGGCCGAGGGCATCCGGGTTCACCTGGAGCAGAGGTGCACGGAGCTGAAGAAGACTCAGGCGCAGATGGAGAAAATTTCCAAGAACAAGAACGATGTGGATTTCTTACAGGTGACCTCAGGGCCCAGTCGACAGGGTGGTGAAGATTAAAGTACAAGTAAAGGATAAAGTTAGTGATCCTGAATGAAAAGCACTGATTTGAGTTTCTCATCAGGTCTTGTTAGGTTCTAAAGACCTTATATAAATATCTCATCAGGTATTAAAACCTTTGTCTTCTCACGTCTGGACTCATTTACGTTCTCCAGTCTGTCTTCAGTTTCTTCTGGTTCCATATCTCCCAAGTTCTTCCCACTGAAAATGATCATCCTTGATCTATGGATCTTTGATTTATTGGTTATTTTGAACAGATTTGACCCATTTACACGTTCATTATTAATAATAGTAGACATTTATACTGCGTACTGCTGGAAGGAAGTGACAGAAATGTGATTTGAGTAGAAAAGGACGGTTTTTCACACTTTGACATCAACGACTATGAAACAGGTTTAAATTTCAAGTCTTTCTTGTGTTTAAAAGATTAAAATTCTACTTTACGAATGCTGACGAAGACCCTGCTTCTGTTTGGTAGGAGTATTCCGAGTGGAAGAAAGAAGCCCCTGACATCTCTTTGCCTGGGGTCTACATCGGCCTGATGGATCGCCTCAACTCCTTCAGCCGTGTGATCGTGGACTCCACGCAGGAGCTCTGTGCCCAGCTCGTGTCCTCGTACATAGACAAAGTTAAAGAGACCTGCAAGAACGGTGAGAGCAGCAACTCTCCAGCTGTGCGGATCTCTCAGCCGGGCGTGTTCACACATGTTGTAAATGTTCAGCCTGTGTGTCATTGACGTAACGTGTGAGGAGCTATAGAGCTGCTTGTTTGTATCTGTGTCACACACAGAAGCGGCAAAACAACAAATACTTGTTTCTCCTCTGAACATTTTTGTCTCCGCTGAAGCAGAAGTGTATGTTAATGAATCCAGACTGTGAGACACTAAAATATATATTTATCTTCTGTTTCAGACCAAATGGGAATAAAAACAACAGTTCATGCGATTATCTCAGCGAAAGACAACATGTCGATTCCCGATCCTCAGAAACACGCCGACTTCCTCAAGTGTAAGTGTTGAACATGTGCCAGTAGAATCATGAAGGTAGGAGGATTTAAGATAATAGAGAGGACAAATGAAATGCTGACATGGGTTCAAATCCCCATATCGTGTCCTCTGTGGATTTAAACGTGTTTCCGTTCTCGTTGTTGTGACTCATCTACAAACGAAAGAAGGAAACAAAACAATGCAGAGGATGTGACCTTCATCGTTGTCACTAACATTTTTAAATTCCTCTCACAGACGCCGCCCACGTGAGTTTCGAAGCTGTCACCGCTCACAAGTTCCTGCGTCTAACGGAGGAGAACAGGAAGGTGACCAACACCACGCCCTGGCAGCATCCGTACCCTGACTCACCTGAGCGCTTTGAGAACTGGCGACAGGTTCTGGCCACAGAGAGCTTCTATATGGGCCGACACTACTTTGAGGTCGACATCAGCGGCGAGGGGACGCACGTGGGCCTGACCTACAAGAGCATCGACCGCAAGGGCAGCGAGAGCAACAGCTGCATCACAGGAAACAACTTCTCCTGGTGTCTGCAGTGGAACGGACGCACCTTCTCCGCCTGGCACAGCGGCGTGGAAACCCCCCTCAACATGGAGAAGTTCACTCGCATAGGCGTCTACGTGGACTACACACGAGGCCTCCTGGCTTTCTACGGCGTGAAGGACACCATGACGCTCATCCACGAGTACAAGGCAGACTTCCTGGAGCCTCTTTACCCGGCGTTCTGGTTGTCGAAGAAGGAGAATATCGTGGCCTTGGTGGCGCCTGGGGAACCGTTACGGCTCAAGAGCCCCTCTCCACCGACCTCACCTGTAACCAAAGCCATAGTTTCATAAACAGCAGCAGAGCTGCAACTGGAAACCTGTTTGTTCTCAGTGATATAGAAACTGTAAATAAAGATGGACGACACGTCTTCACTTCCTCCCACTGTGCAAAATTTTAATTTTCTTGAGTTGGAGTCACGGTATCAAGAACCTGCTGATACACACGTTCGCCCAATCAGGAGTCAGACTCAGCTGTCAATCATATCATCAATTAACTAATTCAAACCAAACTGATCAGAAACACTTGAACAAACATCAGTGTGATGAGAGCGACCTGAAATGACAGAAACCATCTTTGAGGAATATTTATTATTTATCTACTTTGATTCTTTAGTTTGGTTCATGTCCCATCGGCTAACATGGAGGAGTCAGAGTTTATGATCTATACTGCAGCCGACCACCAGGGGGTGATCAAGATAATTCGGCTTCACTTTTGGGAGCTGTCATGTCGTCCATCTTCATTTACAGTCTATAGACACATGTTTATACGAAAGTACTGTTTCATACATTTTAACATAAAAAAGAAAAACCAGCTGATTTGAGTTTCATTTTGTTTACAGTCGTTTGTTTTTGTCGTAAAACCTTTTATGAGTTACATGAAAAACTGTGTTTATCTCATGTTCGTTTGGGCTCATTGCATGTGTATGTGTGGGACTATTGTTACTGTTACTGTACTTTTCATTACACTGTGAATCCACAAAAGCTCTTTATTTTCTGCAAAATAAATAAAACTGCCATTAAAACTTTATATCTTCATTTTCCAAGAAAAGGGAACCTGCCTTCTTTTTGTTCAGTGCGTCCGCACTTTACTCTGAGCACCGCGCTCTGCTCATTTCATGCACGGATTAAAAAAGTTCAGCTAAATGTCAGGAAATTAAATCTACATCCAGATGTTTTTGCTGGAGCTTTTATTTTGAAAACTAGTCTCCTGTTAAAGTGTACAGACCGTATTACTGTGCAGGAGTATTTATATTAGAGGACAGATACATAGATAAATAGATATTTAGATATAATACTTCATGTATTGTCTTCATCAGAGTCGCACAAACCTCGAAAGTTCAGTTTTCAAGTTTCAAGGTTTATGAGTAAATAAACTGATACAATCATTATAATTAATATTGATATTAAATAATTTAATCTAATAAATTATTCAAACTCAGAAGTAAAATAAAAAAAACTGACCTGTGATGACGTTTCACTTGTCGTGGCACTCTCTGACCACGTGACCGGTCTGTGCGGTGACGTGTGAGCATGTAGCCGGAAGCAGGAAGAGACTTCGCGTTTCATCATGATAACAGAAGTAAGTGACGTATTTAATGTTTGTATTTGTTTCTAACGTGTGAACGAGAGAAGCAGCTTCAGCTAAACTTCAGCTAAACTTCAGCTAACATGCTAACAGAGCGAAACACAGTGAGTCAATCAACATCTCTGCAGCTAATGTTGCTAATGTTAGCATGCTACGGTTCGGTCGCTGTCTACGCCTCCGCTCCGTTAGCTCGGGTTCATGTTCTGGACTTTTAAACATCTCCACACTTCAAGGTTTTATCTCTGACACACTCTGACACAAGTTATAGTTCTACCTGGACACACGTTAGAACTGTCTGAACAGAGGAAGCTAACGGTGGCTAACAGCTAGCTGCGTTAGCTGCTCTGCTTCGTCGTTGTTAAAATCATCAAATTCAGTCAAAGACAATGAAGATATTTTATAGTGTTTAAAATAAATGTAGCTGCATTAAAACTCCTGGTTTCTGATTCTGTTGTGAAACACATCACGCTGTTATTGTGTCATATGACCCATAAGGTATCTGTGTATAAACACAGAAGAGGTTTCAGATGTGTACATGTGTCTCTGAGGGATTAACCATCTTCCTTATTTGTCCCTCAGGACGCCAACGATGAGGACGTGTCGCTTTTCGATGCAGAGGAGGACGCAGGGAAAAGGTCAAAGAAGTCGAATATCAAGTGAGTTTCCAGAGAGTCTGCAAAGCGCTGGAGGCCTTCACTGTCCCTCAGTACTCCAAGTTCAACACTTTGACAACTGATCACTGGCTTTATTTGTTTTTCAAGCTGAATTTACCAAATGTTTATTGTCTCCAGCCTCACACATGAAGATATGATGTATGTTTGTCACATGTGATATAAATGCAGCACCGTCTTCATTTATTTCCACCATGAAGATAAAATTCATTAAACGTGTTGACAATCTGTCACCAGGCATCCGGTGGCGTCGTTCTTCCACCTTTTCTTCAGAGTGAGCGCCGCCATCATCTACCTGCTCTGTGAGCATCTCAGTAGTAGTTTCATCGCCTGCATGGTGTCGATCATCCTGATGCTGTCATGTGACTTCTGGACAGTAAAGGTTCGTCTTTTAATACAAGGTCAAATCTCTGTGTTCAGAGAGGAGGATCGTTTTCACTGTGTCCGGTGATAAGAAGTCGAGGGATATGATATGAATTCATCCTTCTCGATATGAGTCTTTAAACCTTTACTGTGTCGTACATGATAATGACATGAATATCATGGTGTGATGAAGATTGTCTGTTAATCAGCAGCTCAATTGAAAATGTAAAAAGTCAGTTGTTGCATTAGTTCTGTCTCATGTCATAAGTATCTACGTTGACAGAACATCACAGGGAGGCTGATGGTTGGTCTCAGGTGGTGGAACCAGGTCGACGATGATGGGCGGAGCCACTGGGTGTTTGAGTCAAGGAAGGTGAGACGCTCCTGTAACCTGCATTTAGTGTGTGCTGTAATAGTCATAGTTCTTGGGTTCTTTAACTTGACGTGATACTGATGAACCATTGACCTTCATAAATACACTTGTTCACAGTCAGATATTCACAGATGTCCTGACTGTGAGAATATCCTGTTTTCTTCAGGGTTCTGGGAAACAACAAGCGTCAGATTCTGAGTCTCGGATCTTCTGGCTCGGGCTGATTGTTTGTCCCGTCCTCTGGGTCATCTTCTCCTTCTTCACCATCTTTTCTTTCAGTATTAAATGGCTGGTAAGACCACAAATAAATGAATAGAATAAAAGGTTGTTCTATTTTCAGCAAAACACATGATGAGCAAATCAACATCGTGTTAGTCCGTCTTGGAACTTTCTGACAACAGCTTCAGACTTTGCGACTCAACGTTATTGTAAAACGTAAATCCACATTTCTTTTCTGCATCGTTTATTTTGTAAACTAAAAGTTTTCATGTTCGAAAACATAAACATGGTTCTGTGAAATGCTCATATCGGCCAACTGGTAAATGACTGGGGCTCTACTGCCACCTTGTGTTGGAGTTTGGGATAAATTAGATGTAAATGTAGAGCAGCGTCTGACGTCCGTCTTCTTCCTCTCAGCCTGTAGTGATCATGGGTGTCGTGTTGCAAGGGGCCAACCTCTACGGATATGTGCGATGTAAAGTCGGAGGAAAGACCAACTTAAAGAACATGGCGACCAATTATTTTGGACGACAGTTCCTCAAACAGGTGACTTCAGTTTTCAGAAGAGCTGATTATTTGTGTTCTTCTTGTTTTTTCCACAAAGTCTTGACGTAAGTTGTTTGTGTTTTGCAGGCGCTGTCAAAAGAAGAGGAATCGTAGAGTAGAACTCTGCGATTTTAACATGTTTGCATTATTCTTAATGCTGTGATGTATATTCATTTTGCAACTTGAACTGAAAATAACAGACTGAGTTTTTCTTTTTCTCTTTTCAATATAATAATAATGATGGTAATAATATAGTTTGACTCAATCGGTCCCAGCAGAGAGAGTTTCCATAGAGAGGTTAGAGGTCAGGTCGCTGTTTTCCTTCAGCAATAATCCCTCATAGACTTCCACTGATATTTAAGTGTAAATGCATGAAAAGGAAAAAGTGCTTTAAATGTTAAACTGTAGTTTGATGTGTCATTTTGTGTCACAGATATTTAGTTTGTTTTCACTACATCTCAACTTTAATCTTTATAACACAAGTAAAAAATATAGTTTTTGAGAGGTTCTGTACAAACTTTATTTGTTTGTATAACGGACATGGTTGTAAAGTATCAGTGTAAAATGTTCCAGGACATTTGTAAACATGAATGTAAAGAAAATATGAGAAACATCTTCTTTTGTGCAAATACATTTTTAACATTTTCCCAACAGTTTGGTCCTTTTTTATGTTTACTACAACAGA